CTGGAGCAAGTGAGTGCCGAGGACTTTGAGAAGCAGAACGAGGAGGCCCGGAGGACCAATCGGCAGGCCGAGCTCTTTGCCCTTTACCCGTCAGTGGACGAGGTGGGTGCCGCTGTCTCCACACTGGAGAATCTCAGTGAAGACTCTTGAGAGTTATGTGGACAATTGTGTTGTTCATTATTACTGTACAACAGCCCATGATATCAGGGCTCACTTGTATGATTTCTGGAGCCTTGCTTTTCACTCAGGCAACCCTGTGTGTCGTAGTAGAGCCAATAGTGATGATCGTGCAGATGGGATTCTGATAATAATAACAACTGGAATTTTCATAGCACTTTACAAAATATGTTCACTAAGAGCATCTCATTTAATCCCTGAACGTTTCAAGAGTCTACATGTAGTAATCATACCCAGCAAGTCAAACCATCCTATTATTTGAGGGTATGTGGCCACTAATCCATTGAGACATACGTTACTTAAACTTTGATGTTCTTGAACGCTTTGCTACTTTCTTTTTAATGATCTCTATGAGCAACCAGAGAGACCTGCTTTGAAAACATTTCAAGCTAAGATAATCACAGTCCATGCTCCCAATGTGTAGGACTTTGGGATCTTGATCGTGTACTTCTTCATTTATTGGAGCTGACCGACAACAATAGGATAATGTGGACTTTGCCTGTGGTCACTGCCTGGGGCACTTTGGATGCAATGAGAGGTGACCATTATTGAAGCTTTGTGTCTGTCTGAACTCCTCGTACTGTATAGAAGGCTCTCTGTTTTCCCCTCTGCGTGTGAGGTTATCTCCGCTTCTGGGTCTTGGCAGAACAGATTACTGCTATATCTCTGCTGTCCAAATTGTATTAAAAGTTCAGTTGCAAGAAACAGATTTGAGGAAACGTTGCATAAAAGATATTCCATCTATCCATGCCTCTAAATATTTGAAATTCGATGGTTGGATTAAGCAAGGCAATCAGAGAGCCTGATACCCCCACCCTTCTGGATTGTGTTTGCTAACCTGCCCTTCAGTGAGCTCACCACTGGTCAGCAAGGAGGACAATAAAGGAAACAGCAGTCGTGAGGTAGGATATCATGTCCACATGGAAATACTATTGTTGACATTGACCTACTCACCATCTAGCACCTTCCTCTTTGATGATCTAAAGGACAATTAGCCTTCAAGTCTTCAGAGAAAGAAGCGCGCTTCTGCTGAGATAATATGAACACTTAGAGATTGTGCTCATTTTGTAACTAACTCTCTTAAATTCTTTACTTCGAGCAAATTTCTGTCCACCTTCACCAAACGTGGCAGCTTGCTGATTGGTGTCCTGAATTTACTCCAGCTTTCTTTTCTTATCCTGATTTTCTAAGCACCTTGGTTTCCTCATCTATTTTTATTTTATTTGCAGTTTTTGTCAGCAGCCCCAAATGCTCTTCTGAATGAGGCAAATTATAAAAATAAATTATCCCACTTATATATAGAATCTAAAAAAGTGGATCTCATAGAAACAGAGTAGAAAGGTGGTTACCAGGGGCTATGGGGAGAGGGAGAGGTGTTTCTCAAAGGCTGCAAAGTCTCAGACCGTAGGAATATGTTTTAGTGACTGTTGCACTGCATAGTGACCAGAGTTAATAATAATGTGTATTTCAAAACTGCTTTTAAAAAAGATTTTTAATGTTCTCATCACACACACACAAAAGGTAAGTTGGTGAGGTCATAGATAACGTTAATTAGCTTGATTTAATCTTTCTGCGATGTATACAAACATCAAAACATTACTTGATTTAATCTTTATACAATGTATACATAGATGAAACCATTACACTGTACCCCATAGCTGTAGATAATTACTATTTGTCAATTAAAAAATAAATTAATAAAGTATGAATAATGTGAGCAATATCATCATCTCCATTCCTCACGTTAGAAAGCAAGCATTAGGCTGAAGAGCTTTTTCAAGATTCAACAGATAAATTAAATTATAAAATGGGGCCCTAACTTGTTAACTACAAAGTTCAAGTTCCCTTGTTTATGTATCTACATACATATGACTATCTGGTATGTTAGCACACATAACTGAAATCTAAAGATGATATTTTTAAATATCATGTAACTTTTTAGTTTCCATCTACAACATTAAGACTTTTTACCAGATTTGTCAAGATATGTTATATCAGACTGATTTGGCCTTTGCTTTCCTCCCTCTTCTTCTCATTTCTGTGATGGAGATGCCAACATGTAATAGAGGGATCCAAAGCGGATGCCAGAAGAGAGAGAACAATTAGAGGATACAGAGAATATGTCCAGTGAGACTTTTGCTTGTCAATGTCTCCCTGGTGGTATTAGATGGGAGAATGTTCCATCTGAACTGATTAAAATAATGAAACATAGCCTGGTTTTAGAGGAACTTTGTTTTATGATCTTTGAAACAATGCAGACACTCCATTGGGACTGAAAGTTATAATCTAGTAGCAGGCCTAATGGGGCCTAATTTTATTGAGTAAAGAGAAGTGATTTGTAATGAGTGTACCAGTTATTTGTAAATTGGCATGTCTAAAATGCTTGAGGACCTCTATACCAGCCCTTTAATATTTTGAAGCTGTTGTCACAGAAATTGCATTTGTACTTATAATTTGCACTTTCTCCAAAGAAAGTTCTGTGGAAGAAAGTTCTACCTACTCTGACATGATTACAAATGCTGGTTTTTTTGATGACATAATCAGTATTTTAAATATTATCATTACTTGGTTTCCCTGTAAGGAAAGTTAGAAGAGAGGTAAACTGGTATATCCAAGTTATGGTGGAGTCTACAGGAGAAGCAAAAGTTGGACTTAACCACCAAGCTTCTATAAGGGAAGTTCTTCCCCTAATTCATTCGGATTCTACAAAAGGTGGTGATTCTACAAAAGGCATTCTATGTCAATCCCTAAGAAAGATTCCACTAATACTCCAAATCATAGAAAAGTTTGCTGAGGCTCTTGGTTACAAGTGACAGAACCCAACTAAAACCAATTCAGAAAAAATGTTGGGGGAGTACTTCTTGGCTCAACTAAGGAAATCACAGGGAGGCAAATGTGAAGTTGACCTCCAGACCTTTGGGACAGTAAATGAAAGAATATAATCTCTCTCATACTGTCTCTTTCTCTCTCATTATCTCGTTCATTCCCTTCATTTATACATATCTTTAGGATGATGAAAATAAGAGGTAGCCATTAATGTTTCACATTTCCACTTTCTGCTTGCTTGGGAATTAGCTCCCATTTCAGTTAGCTATAAAGCCTGAAGAAATTCATATAGCTTAGAAGAGACTTAGGAAATACATCATCCAGATGTCATATGGGGACCTTGTTTGGATCTTGATTGAACAAAATAACAGTAAAACAAATTGAGACAGGGAAATTTGAAACTGACAAAAATTATTTAGTGGCAATAAGAAATTATTTTTAATTTTTAGGCATAATAATGGGATTGCTATATGTTTTTAAAAGTCTTTATCTTTTAAAGATATGTACTGAAATATTTATATATGTATATGGTCTCTGGGAAGTTCCTTCTAAGTAATCCAGTATTGAGCTAGAAAGGTAGTAAGTGGGTAAATAGATGAAACCAGAATGCCCATGAATTAAACTTGTCGAAGCTAGGTGATGGGTGAATGGTGATTCATTGCATTACTCTCTCAACTTTTGTGTATGTTTAAAATTTTCCAAATGAAAATCTTTTTTAAAAGGATTTCAAAAATTAGAATCTAGACCAAAGGCAGTCCTAGAATTCCATGAGTATCTCTACCTTCAGGTTGTTTTCCAGTTAGGGAGATCTTCCCTTTAGATATGCCTGTTCCAATGATACTAAAAAGTCCAGATAGCCCTGGAGTAGGCATCAAAACAATTTCTCCTCTGAAATAAACTCAGCCATTCCACCCAGCAACATGGCCAACCGTAACCACAAGGAATGGGGACCACAGGGAGAAGTTGGAGTAACGATGAGCTTACCACATTGATCATTCCACCAAAGTGAGTACACATTTACCAGGAAGGTGACTTTACTGCTATTTGCAAGAATGTTAGGCTTGCCGTGGGGTATTCAGTGGAAGGCTCCCAGGAAAAGACAGTGAGATGTGACCCTTTTCTTTGGACCCTTGCAATCGGCAGAGCACTCATCAGTGTTTGGAAAGCATACTGCAAGAGTGGGAATTACTGTTTTCAAGGATTTGCATTGCTTATTTTTGCATACATGAATATAATTAACATAGAATGATAGTTCAGATGCAGATATTAAAGTTACAATAGGGGCTTGATATTTCTCTTTAAGTCTTCAGTTTCTGTGTGGTAAAATAAACAAGTAGAGAGCTCTTAATTTGTCATTACTAAATTTCATATACCTAGCACTTTAGCAAGCTCTAACTGCATAAGCCTGTCTAGAACTTGTCAATTCAACCCCAAGTCTCTATCATCTGTTTAAGAAAACAGTGAACTGAGAAAGTGAGTCTGTATTATAGGATCGATGGTTTACAGCCTTAAGTGAACCATTCTGACTCAGATTTCAAATCTGAAACTCACATACTTACTAGTAAAGCCCTTGACAGGAGAAATATTCCAAATGTGTAACAAGAGTGGGCAAAAAACACACAAAAACATCAACAATAGGTATAAGATTTTGCAATGCCATCTGGTGGATGTTACTAAGCCATATCCATGTTCACATTTCCTTCCTTCCTGCTTCAGTCTCTTTGTCTTAAATGCTTGGGTTTCTAAAAGGAGAAACTGTTTGCTGTAAATTCTGACTTTGCGGTTGGGGGTTGGAAGACAAACTTTCTCATAAAAGGCAGAGTGTTAGGAAAAAAAAGCAAACCTAAGTTAACTTGATCCGTGGAGGGTAGCCTTCCCTTCCCTGGGTTAACTCTAATTGGAACTCCTCGTGGAATTCATTAATGATTTCCTTATGATGTGATTAATAACAGGAGGATGCTGTGGAAATACGTCCAGTACCAGAATGTCCCAAGGAACACCTGGGCAACAGAATATTGGTCAAGTTGCTGACCTTGAAGTAAGTATCAACAAACACACTACCACTACTTTGAGATGTATCTTGCCTTTTACATACAGATGTTGTCTTTATTGTCAGAGCTTAAATCAGAAAGGAGCTCCCAAAATACTTTTATTTTATTTTATTTTATTTTATTTTATTTTATTTTATTTTTTGACACAGAGTCTCGCCCTGTCGCCCAGGCTGGAGTGCAGTGTCGCCATCTCGGCTCACTGCAAGCTCCGCCTCCCAGGTTCACACCATTCTCCTGCCTCAGCCTCCCGGGTAGCTGGGACTACAGGTGCCCGCCACCACGCCTGGCTAATTTTTTGTATTTTTAGTAGAGAAGAGACAGGGTTTCACTGTGTTAGCCAGGATGGTGTCGATCTCCTGACCTCGTGATTTGCCCGCATCGGCCTCCCAACGTGCTGGGATTACAGGCATGAGCCACCGCGCCCGGCCAAATACTTTTAACAGTGGGCAGCTGTGGAGTAGTAGAAAGGGCACCATTTGAGTCTTTTCCTGGATTTTTTTTCTACCAACCTTTTGGCAGTCATTATTCTATAATAGAGAAGGCAAACACAAATGTCTACTAAAGTAGGCATGTATGGTAATTGAGTGAAATGACCTACATTAAGAAAAATAACACTTAAATCAGTGGTGTGCTGGAGTTGACTGTACTAACTCATGAGAGCTGACAGTGCACATCTCTTCCTAACCCTGTGTTCAGTGAAGTCACATTGGTAACCTTAAATTGGCCATGGTGAAAGTGTTTACAATGTAGTGTTTGCATCACCCTCAGCACCCAGAGATTATTTGTTAAACATTTGCCAGTATGCCACTGTTGAAACACAATGATAAATGCAGCTGAAACTCAGTCTTAGTGCCAGGGGACAATAGGGAGTGGTGGGGACTGTAGTAAGCCATGTTAACAGGGCACTCACTACTAGCAACAAACTCTTGCCATCCAAATAAACAGGCCCATTTTTGTCAACTGTCTTTTCTATTTTTTCAAGAGAAGCTAAAAACCCAGATTTTTCTACATAATATGCCGACTCCCTAAAGATTTTCTCATTCCCTTTAGAAACACCATGTAATTAAAACACAACTACAGTCTGGTTTCATCTTGTAGGCCAATTATTTGCCACATCTACTTTAAAGCAGTTGCATCCAAACATTTCAATTGTATACTTTGATAGTTAAAAAAAAATCCTCTATAGACATGTATTAATTTTGTACTTTCATATTAACATATTATCTACATTATAAAACATATAACTGAGAAATTTTAAAGAATGAACTTGATACATCTGAATCAATTCTAGTATTTTCTTCTTGCACTGCAATAGATTGTCTTGTGTACCTCCGGAGTGCCTCCATGCCTCTCTTCCTCTCTGCAAACTGCTATTTTCAAGAGTTAGTTCTTCCTCTTTGAATCCACAGATGAAAACTAAAAAGTTGTACATATATAACTAAGCAAAACTACAGAAGTGTAACATTTATTTATATGCTATTAGACAGGTCATCCATCTCTCAAAGTCACTTCATGGGTCCCTCCAGCAGCTCTGGTTTGCAGTGAGAAGGCATCTGGATTCTGGATGTAAGGCTGGGTTTCAACCCTGGGAACTTCCCTGGGATCTTGAGTTCTTCCCTATAAATGAAGTTGATAGACCTTATGGTCTCAAGGTTCCTACCTACCACAAACTTCTAAGATTGTAACGCATAGCCTCTGCCAACTTCTTCTGCCTCAGAATACAAGCCAGCAAGTCTGCTCGCACAACTATGGATGGTCTCTTGATGCTATAGTCTCCTCCTGCTGGCCAGTTCTACGAGAGGGGCTTCAGGGCCTTTTGTACAGAGAAATGAGCAGCCCATAAACCAGCTGAGTATCAAGTAGTGGGCACAGAAAAGCAAGCTCTAGCCCTTGCAAACCAACCTGGAAGTGGGAGCTTCCTCGTTGTCTGGTCAGCAGGAGGACTGACTGGAAGTGGCTGTTCCCCTCTGCATTGTTTAGGAAGCCTTCGCTATTGTCTGAGGGACCCACCTGCCCCCACAGGATGCATCATCAGGCTACTTTTAGATGCAGTGACTATGTCATTTGAGATGGCAGGAATTCTCTATGGTGCTCATCACCAAGCGTTCTAGACCTCTCCAGTGAATAACAGGCAGCTGTTCTCACAGGTGGGAAAACACAGCCACTAAGAGAGATATGTGTTATTTTAAAAAAATTTTTAATGGAGGCCAACTGCAGTGACTCACACCTGTAATCCCAACACTTTGGGAAGCCAAAGTGGGATGATCGCTTGAGGCCAGGATTTTGAGACCAGCCTGGGCAATATAGCGAGACCCCCTCTCTACCAAAAATTAATAGATGTGTTAATTTTTAGTCCTAGATACATTGGGAGGCTGAGGTGGGAGGATCGCTTGAGGCCAGGAGTTCAAGGCTGCAGTGAGCTATGATCATGCCACTGTATTCCAGCCTGAGTGACAGAGTAAGACCCTATCTCTAAAATTAAAAAAAGAGGAATCACTTGAATATCTCTTAATGAAAATTGTCAAGTACAGTTTCTAGTGATGTCCCCACAAGTGCCAAAGCAGAAATTAAGTCAAATTGACATATTTGCCAGGTGCTCTTGGCCTGCTCGTGTGTTTTAAATAGTATCCATACTAACCTATAACTGCAAGAGAAGAAATGGACCAAAAAGACAGCCCTAGGAATAACTACTTAGACTAAACTAGATGAAAGAAAGAAACAAATTCTTATAGGTAAGCCTAGAATGTGACAGTATGAATAGTAAAAATATAAGAGTAATATTAATGGCAAATGTTTTCCCATTTACATTGATATGTAGGATTCTATTCATAATACTACATGTTTTAGCAGCTGAGGAATTTGTTTAAAGTTGTGGACATCTATAACTGTCTCTGTATTGCTTTTCAGAAATATAGAAACCCTCAAAGATACAGAAAGAATTGGCTCCTGCCAATTCTTCAAGTGTTTGTAACAGAAAAAAAAAAAAAAGAATGAAAATAAAGTATTCTTCTGTTTTGTATTTTAAGTGGAGAAATACTTTAAGATTTAACACCATCTTATGAAAAGTAATCGCAGCTCTTAGGAGTCTTCTTGATGGTGAAACTTTAATGTGCAGAAAATTTACCCAGGGAGTTTATTTTAAATGCGAATTTTGGAGGACCTCCCATAGCAGTCTCCTTCAAGAGATTCTGGTTGAGTAGGTCTCAGGTGGGATCAAGAAACCTGCATGCTGGCAAACTTCTTTTGCTTCAAAATGCTAGTTTCTGGGGACTACACTTGAAGAACAGACACTCACAGAAAAAGCCCAGGTTCTGTGATCAGAGATGGCTGGGCACAAAACCTGACTGTGCCAATTCCTAACTTTGAGGACTTTGGCAAGTTCCTTAATCCCTGGGAACCTTCGTGTCCTGGTGTATTAAATGCAGATAATATCTGCATTACACTGTAGTTGGGTAAAGAGGCTGATGTGTGGAAAGCACTTATTACAGCACAATTTTAAGTCTTTAATAAATGTTAATTCTCTTTTTCTTTCTCTGAACCACAGAGGACTTATCACTCAGTACCAACCTAAGTATATCACAGCAATATTCAGGCCCTTTGTGTAGTAGGGAGTACACAATTAACTATAGGTTGACCATGCCAGGCAGCAGCTGGTGAGCCTAGGCACAGGAAAGCCCCCAATTGGCCTGGTGCGGTGGCTCACACCTTTAATCCCAGTACTTTGGGAGGCCGAGGCAGGTGAGTCACCTGAGGTCAGGAGTTCGAGACCAGCCTGGACAACATGGTGAGACCCCATCTGTACTAAAAATACAAAAATTAGCCGGGCGTGGTGGTGCATGCCTGTAGTCCCAGCTACTGGGGAGGCTGAGGCAGGAGAATCGCTTGAACCTGGGAGGTGGAGGTTGCAGTGAGCCGAGATCATGCCATTGCTCTCTACCCTGGGCGACAAGAGCAAAACTCTGTCTCAGAAAAAAAAAAAAAAAAAGGCCCCCAATTAATGTGCAATTACCTAATAATAGAATAATCATAGAAATCCTCAACACTGGGCTTTTCGGTGGTAAAATGTACATAACATAAAATCTAACTTTTTTTTTTTTTTTAATTTGAGATGGAGTCTCACTCTATTGCCTAGGCTGGAGTGCAATGGCACAATCTCGGCTCACTGCAACCTCCGCCTCCCAGGTTCAAGTGAGTCTCCTGCCTCAGCCTCCTGAGTAGCTGGGATTACAGGCACACGCCACCTTGCTTGGCTAATTTTTGTATGTTAGTAGAGACGGGGTTTCACCATGTTGGCCGGGCTGGTCTTGAACTCCTGACCTCATGATCTGCCTGCCTTGGCCTCCCAAAGTGCTGGGATTACAGGTGTGAGCCACCACACCTGGCCAAAATCTACCATCTTAACCATTTTTAAGGTACAGTTCAGTGGTGAGTACATTCACATTGTTCTGCAAACATCACTGCCATCCATCTCCAGGAATTTTTCTCTTCCCAAACTGAAACTGTACCCATTAAACAATAACTCCTTATCTTCCCTGCTCCCCAGCCCCTGGCAACTACCATTCTACTTTCCGCCTCTACGAGTTTTACTACTCTGGGTGCCTCATATAAGGGGAATCATAAAGTAACTGTTTTTTTGTGACTGGCTTCTTTTACTTATCATAATGTCCTCACATTCATCTATATTGTAGCATGTATCAGTAGCTCCTTCTTTTCTATGGCTAAATAATATTCCATTGTATGTGTGTAGCACATTTTGTTTTGGCCTCATATATGCATCTGTTCATGGACACATGGGTTTCTTCTACCTTTTGGCTATTGTGAAAAGCACTGTTACTCTGCATTGTTGTTAAGATACATTCACACACATCATCATACAGGATCCTCACAGCAGCCTGGAAAATGGAAAGGCAAGCATCCTTTCCTTATTTTGCAGAAAAATAAATGGAATTTGGAAAGGTAAGTGACCTGATTAGGATCGCAGAATTAGCAGGTGGTAGAAGAGTAACAGAGTCCAGGTCTCTGCCTGGGTGCCCTGTGAGTCTGCCATGATTCCAAATTGCCTCATTTCCAAAGGTGCCATTTGAGCAAATAACCCTTTCGTCTGTGCTCATACTCTGTCCAAATGTTATTCTAAAAAGTCCTTATTTGAGACAAAGCTGTCCATTGGTGAAAACATTCTCTCACATGTACCTGGAGACAAAACATGGCTTTTTGACATGACGTCTGAGGTCATGGTGGACTGGGGCTCTCTGCAGGTAACATCCAAGGCTATGGGACGTGAAGCTGAGAAACTTGGAAGACATTCGTCAGTGTTCCGTGTGCACCCCTGTGATGTCCACCAGGATACTAAAGGCGGATAATGCACCAGGATTGTGCTTTGGGATTCACCATTTCAAGGGGAATTGGCAATTAGGGCCAATATGAGGCTCCTCTTTCTAGTTCTCCTGGGGTCCAGGCACCTCAGTGTTTATCTGCTGTGCTCAATCCCCTCCCTGACCTCAACTCAGCAACTCCCCAGTAATGGAGGTAGGAAGGGCCAGACATTCATCCCCATCGAAACCCAGCCTTCTTCTGACTGTCCCACTACAACTCTGAGGAAAAGCGATTGAACTTTTCTTTTGCTGCTATCTGAAATCCCCATTCCTTAGAATTGAATAAAATATCCTTTAATTTCTTTTTATTTCAGTGGCTTTAGGGTACAAGTGATTTTTGGTTACACGGATGAATTGTATAGTGGTGAAGTTTGAGATTTTAGTGCACCCATCACCCAAGTAGTGTACATTGTACCCAGTATATAGTTTTTTTATCTCTCATCCCCCTCTACTATCCACCTTCTGAGTCTCCAAGGTCCATTATACCACTCTGTTTGCCTTGGCGTACTCGTAGCTTAGCTCCCACTAACACACGGCATTTGGTTTTCCCTTCCTGAGTTACTTCACTTAGAATAATGGCCTCCAGCTCCATCCAAGTTCCTGCAAAAGACATTATTTCATTCCTTTCTATGACTGAGTAGTATTCCACAGTGTATATATGCCACATTTGCTTTATCCACTCATTAGTTGATGGGCAATTAGGTTGGTTCCATATCTTTACACTTGTGAAACAGATACTATCCTAGCAATAAAATGTGAAATGTGAACAAGTCCATTACCTCAGACAGAAAGTCTACCCTCTGAAAACACAGTAGTTACAACGATAAGAAGATGAATCAGACTAAGGGTCCATTCAGCCCACTCTCTCTTGCAGCGCTGCCAAGAAGCAATTTTGGGAGACATCCCAAAAATATCCACCATGCTTTTGTAATGTCCACCATGATCTCAAATGATTAGGAATTTTTCACAAACCTCTCATATTTTCCATTAATATCCCAGTGTGATTCTCATATACTTGGAGTTTTCCAAATAGTTCTGGAAACTGCTCACATTTTAACCAGTTTATATAGCCAAGCATTTGTCAGAAAATTCAAAATTATGTAAGTTAAAGCCACATAGATTTTCTTCTCTTTCTATGATAGGTTTGAGATTGAAATTGAGCCTCTGTTTGCCAGCATTGCCCTCTACGATGTTAAAGAAAGGAAAAAGGTAAGAAAGCAAAGAAAAATCCATCCCTAAGGCACATAAAATGTTTATGATTCTTTGGGTGTATGTTCTTAAATCTTCTTTGCCGCAAGAAGCTATCAGATTTGAAAGCAAATGATCTTTGATGGGTCCAGTTCTGTTGCCTTTGCAATTTTTCAAGCAGTGGTCTGAGAACATAATTTATGATCTTTGAAGAATTTTTGAGGGAAAGGCTACTGGAGGTGCTGGCCTGGTTGGAATAGAGAAAGAATGAAATAGTCAGTACATGGGGTTATGTATAGAACAAACCCATTTAAATACATTTTTAACGAGCTTGGATGTGCATGTAAAGCTTCCTCAGTTTGAGAGTTCTTTGCACTGTGAAATTGGCTCATCATGGCTGAAGGGCATCTTACGTGGTAGAGGTCTCAATTTGTCACAGAGTTCAGACCTCACCAACAGTAGTATGCTTTTAATGAAAACAGTGACCAAGACCTCTCCTGTGTCTTTAATGTTTAGTCATTTTGTGACTCCTGGAAGAGGACAGCAATAGCAAATCCAGAGTAGGATGGACACTTCTGCCCTTCTTTACCCATAATCATTCTGTATTTAAGGCAACAGCTATCTCCTGCATAAATACTAATAATAACTGAGATTTGTGTTAGTTAGGATAGGTTAACTGCTAAAACAAGCAGAACCCCAAACTCAGTGGTTTAAAGCAGTAGTTCTCAAACTTGAGCATGCATCAGAATCCTCTGGAAGACTTGTTAAAACAGATTGCTGGGCCCCACCCACAGAGTTTCTGATTCAGTAAGTCCAGGTTGGACCTGAGAATCTGCATTTCTTACAGTCCCCTGGTGATGCTGAAGCTACTGGTCAGGGGACCTCATTTTGAAAACCACTGGCTTATAAGCAAGAAGTTGCCGTCTTAGTTTCTTTAACCTTCCGGGGCAGGAGGAGGGAGCCCTCTGTTCCATGCAGCCATTCAGAAATGCAGGATGGCAGTGGCTCCTCCGTCTTCAGTATGTGCCCTCCCCAAATCACTCTTGTCACTGCCATTGCTGCCCCTGAAGAAGAGAAAAGAAGGATGGAGGAGGCCTGGAAATTTGACACATTGCTTCTGCTTACAATTCACTGAAGAGAATTCAGTCACATGATCACCCCTCATTGCAAAGGAGACTGGTAAATGTAGTCTCTGCCTGGGTAGCCGCTCTCCATTAAAACTCTCTTGGTGATGAAGGGGAGAACCCAACCATATAGTGGCTTTTAAGTAATATGACATTAAGAGAGCTAGGAGCACTGCTCACATCATGTTCTTGCTCAGAATCTTCACTAAGATTCACTACCTACAACATTAAGAACAAACTCTTCAGCTTCCATGCCAGGCTTTCTTCATCATGGCGTTCCTCTACCTTCTCTCTGACCACAGTCTATGCAGAGTCAAGCTGGGCCACTGTCTGTTAACTAAGCTTCCCCCAAGCGTTCAAGCCTCTGAGATATTCATCCATGCTGTACTCTCTCCTTGGTGCATCGTCATCCCCCACCACTGCCTATCAGAATCTTCTAAAGCCCATCCATCTCCAGTGCTGCTTCCCTGAAAAGTTGTCCTTGTCACCCAACTGCAAATGTCCTGTCTCTCTCTGGAACTTCCACAATGCTTCTTTGTGTGCGTGTGGTGACTTGTAGTTTGCTTTTACTGTAGTTAGTTATATGTTTGCATTTTCTCTCACTTTTTTTTTTCTTTTTTTGAGTCAGGGTCTCACTCTGTTGCCCAGGCTGGAATGCAGTGGGGCCATCTCAGCTTACTGCAACCTCTGCCTCCCAGGTTCAAGCGACCCTCCCACCTCAGCCTCCGAAGTAGCTGGGATCACAGGCATGTGCCACCATGCTGGCTACTTTTTGTATTTTTTATAGAGGCAGGATTTCACCATGTTGTTCAGGCCAGTCTTGAATTCATGAGCTCAAGCAATACACCCGCCTTGGTTTCCCAAAGTGCTGGGATTACAGGTGTGAACCACCACACCTGGTCCTTCCTTCATTCTTAATTGTGAACTAATTGAGGGCAGAGGTCCTGCTCTTCTGTGTTGAAGTTAACTAGCACATCAGTGATACTCAGGAAAAACTGGTGGGTTAATAAACATTTAAATGTTTCAAGGAACATCTCTCAAATGGCTCCAAAATGCCTAGATATTGTGACAAAACATTCATCAGATTTATCCAGCAGCCACTTTCCTAAACCACGTCTATGATTATTACACTTACTCCTTCGGCAAAATTTCTCTGTGGTGTTTTTACTCCTTTTAACGTGTTTAAACCATGAATACAACAGATCTAATTTGTATTTCACTTTGCTGCTCATTTACAGATCTCAGAAAATTTTCACTGTGACCTGAACTCTGACCAGTTCAAAGGATTTCTGCGAGCTCACACACCTTCGGTGGCCGCATCAAGTCAGGCGAGATCTGCAGTCTTCTCCGTCACCTACCCGTCCTCAGACATCTACCTGGTAGTCAAGGTAGTTCAGCACGATCTGATTTGCCCAATCTGATGTTTTCATTGCTGCGTTGTTCCCAGCACATGTTTGGGGTGCACGAAACCTCAGAATGTGTCCACATATCCTCTGAGATTCGCTTTGTTTCCTTCTCAATTTACCCCTTTTCCCTTCCAAGTCAACTGTTTCAGATACTGGAAAGACTAGGTTTTGGAGTCATACTGACCTAGGTTTGAGTCCTGGCTTTACAACCTAGTAATTAAATGGCATTGGCAATTTCCTGGTCTTTCAGAGACAGATCTGAGTTTCCTCACCTGTGAAGTGACCTCAGTGGATAGTCATGACTACAGAATAAAGCTTGGCACATCTTGGGCACCCTTCTCCTAACTAAGGAGAGTTCCCTCGGTGACCTGGTGCAGAGAAGCTGCTGTGGAGAAAGGAACAAAATCTCTGGGCTAGAGTTTCCTAACGATGTTCATGTTGAGCTGGAGATGCATAGTTAAGTGTTCCCAAGTCTAGGCTCTTACAATTTGAAGTGTGGGCTGTGGTTTTCAAGTTTCACCCTCCCCCTTTTTTTTTTTTTTTTTTCTTCTTACCATGTCACAGACTGTCTCTAATGAGAGTTGAAATCTATGGGGCAATTGTAAGTAGAAGAGCCTTTCATTCTAGACTATACTGTTTGCTGTTGTAAGAAAACCAGATCCTTTCTTGTACACCAAAATGACTGGTTAGAAGTTAAAAAGCATCAGGTATTTTATCTACCTTAGGCCAGATAATTGGTCTTATTGACTCTTTTTTTTTTTTTTTTTGGTGAGCGGAGTTTCGCTCTTGTCACCCAGGCTGGAGTGCAGTGTCACCACGTCGGCTCACTGCAACCTCCACCTCCTGGGTTCAAACGATTCTCCTGCCTCAGCCTCCCGAGTAGCTGGGATTACAGGCGCCCACCACCCCATACCAGGCTAACTTTTGTATTTTTAGTAGAGACGGGATTTCACCATGTTGGCCAGGCTGATCTCAAACTCTTGACCTCAGGTGATTCGCCCGCATTTGGCCTCCCAAAGTGTTGGGATTACAGGTGTGAGCCACTGCGCCTGGCTGTAAAAACATTGTAAAAACAAAACAACAAATTCAGGTGTCTGATTTCATGTACACCCAGCCTCCTAGGTTTGGAACATTGTCTCGTTAGTACAGTGTTTTATGTCTGTAGTCTCAGTGATTGCCCCATGATCTCATGGATTCCAAATAATTCAGGTAGCTTGGAGGTCACTTAACAGATGGCAAATGTCTTTTCATTCTAGCTTCTTTAACACCATATAACAAAGATTATGAGAGGTTACTGTAGCTTGAGGGAACTTATTTAAGCTTATAGAAAGTATAGTTAAAATTATATTGCTGAAAAGACAGTTCTATTGTTGTCAAACTTTAATGTGTCTCTTTTTCATTGCAATATTACTTAGACATACAGGAAAATTAAAGCCCACTGTGGTAGCCCTGTAGGTAAGTTCACAATTCTCTGTCAGCCTAGGAAACGGAAGAAGCCAACGCTAGTTCTGTAGAGCCAAATTTTATCTCAAACTCTACTTCCCAGTGGATGACTTTCTCTTGATTAATCCATCATATTCTGCCAAGTAACAGTGGTTACCCATGGGTTACTATCACTTACTACATATGTTCCAAAATGTTCAAACGTATAAATGTGTTCATTTGGCATAACAAACATACTAAAGTGTTTGGATAGATTGAAGAAACTGAAATCTACTCAACAAGACAGCCCCTGGATGGCTTTCTCTTTGCTTTTCTTTATCGTAATGCCATCATTGTTGCTTCTTTCCCTTTAAATATATAGTAAATGGTGTTAAACTATTTAGCACATTCAGGCGGACATTATTTGATAAGAGGGGCTTCTTTCTTTTTTTATTTATATTTCCAGGCTGAACATTAGGGTCTTTGCTGTATTTTAGGCAGCGTCATCTCGTTCAGGCGTTGCGTATAATATGACTTTAATGGATTATTTCTGCTTAAAGGTTTAATTCAAGATTTTGTGAAATTTTTTTTTAAAAAGGGTTTGTTTTACAATCAAGGAAAGAAGAGTGAAAATGGGAGTGAATTGGAAACTTTTCAAAAGTTGTTTAAAAATAGGTATGCCGTGCCCAATTTAAATATTTAATAAGTTGCCATGTGCCTGTCCTTATGTGAGAGCCACATAGTTGGAGAAAACACAAAGCAGAGAGCCTAGCACCTTAGAAGTCTTTCAAATGGTAAATTTCCCATCTCAAAGAGTTTACAATCCAGTTAAAAAACAACTTGGCATTCGAAGAAATGGGTTCAAATTCCTATTTTGCTACATTTGCTGTAGCAAACTCAGCAAGTCTGGTCTCTCAGTCTAGTTGGACAGTGATCCCTGTGCCTGAGTGGTTTTGAAGAAAATTGAAATAATATATGTAAAAACACCTACCCTGTTCCTGACATACCATAATTAGGTAAACAATAAATGGCTATTAAATATGAAAAAAAAATAGGTATGCCAAGTGTTAATGCTACCCCTTCTGAATAGAGCAGAAAGTAGTCTCTTCCCTTAAGAAAAGTTTTAGGTTAATCTGATAGGCTTCTTTGTCCTACTTTCCATGGTTATGAGGAGTCATGCATTTCATTACACACCTTTGCATAAATCATGAAGGACCAAACAATAGGTTCTCATGTCAGCCTGCAGCTCCTTCTCATGAAGTACCTGGAGTTCTCCTGGCCCACTGCAGCCAGGGCAGTAGTATCTGCTGGTCTGGTCAAATCTGACTTCTCCTGCTTCCTGTATCTTCCATGATACACACTACTAGTGCATGAAGCTGTGGCCTTCCCCTTCCTTGCTTCAGGGTCCTAATTAAGAAGTTCTTAATCTCTGTTCAGAATTTATTCTAAAGACCACATTTTTAATCCATTCACTTCATGGAAAAATTAGCTTCCTTCCAATTTGTTCTACAAGCTCCTGACTATGAGCTTCAGGAGAACAGGGGCAGTGTTGATCGCCACCTTATCTCCCCAGCTGCTACCATATAGAAGGTACTCAATAATGAGTAAATGATTACTGATTACCGGGAATACTGGTCAGTTTCTAGCTCAAGTGTTATGTGCCTATGTTTTCAGTGTGGTGCATCTCTCAGTGGGATTCGCCTTCTCTTCATGCTGTGGCAATGGGAAGGGGTTTTGAACTTCTTTTATGAGAAGAGAGACTTCCTGCTTGGAGTCCTCCCTGAAGCAGATATTCATTGAGTAGCCTCATGCTGCTTCCTTTGAAACCCCATAAATACCCCTTTATCATGGGGATTGTTAAATACTTTGTGCCTAACTCACAGCACCTATTAAGTATGTGTCCCTTTTGGACTATGTTGACCCAAATTCCTTCTTCAAGGATCATCTCAACTGTTAGGACTAAATCCACTGGTTTTATTCTTCAACATCTAAGTTAAATTTTCTTTGAGCAGGGAGTTAGGATATTTCAAATTTCTCCTTGTCTTTCTTTTAAATATGGTGCCCAAATTTATGACAACTGGCCAGCCAGTCACTTTACCTGAAGCAAGACAGAAGACACTTCATTCATTCTTATTACCAGCATTCATTCCTATTACCAACCAGTTAGCAAACCGAGAAGCTGTACATCCCAATGCTTTTGAGTTTCTTTCCAAGTCTGTTAAATCCAGAGAATTAGCCCTAATAGGAATTACAAAGGCAACAGTTACGGATAATTTATTCAGTTCAGGCATTCATTTCGTGGAAGGTTTTAGTCCAAAACCCCACTTTCACAGAGACCATATCTCTTTTTTACATTGTAAGCAATAATAAAGAAAATGAGCTTTCCACTTCTTACATATGTCTCCTGGGTTTTGTTTTATAAAATAACTTTTATTGCCTTTTTTATTATATACATAATGCATGTTTATTGTTTAAAATAGAAAATACACATAAGCATTGGGAAGAAAATAAAAATCACACAGAATCCCACCATACAAAGGTAACTACTATTAACACTTGCTGCATTTGCTGTGTATCTACTGTCACCCTTTTAATATGCCTTTATAATTTTTACATAAAATCGTATGCTATTCTTTATATAAACTTTTTAATCAAAAAACATGTATCACAGATATCTTCCTATGTCATCAAATATTGTCATAAAATGTAATTTTGATGGTTGCATAGATTCCTTTATATGGATGTAATTTGCGTGCCTTATTTTAATATTATTTTTATTGGTAGATTGAAAAAGTCCTGCAGCAGGGAGAGATTGGAGACTGTGCAGAGCCCTACCTGGTTATCAAAGAAAGTGATGGTGGAAAGGTATGGTCATTTGAGTATTGTTAAATGGAGACATCTTAGAAGAAGCTGATATTTTCAGAAGTGTTACACAAAATAGTTAATGGGCTTTAGTCCCTAATGTGTCCCTATATAAGACACTATTACAATGTAATTCAATAAAAGAGGAAAAGGAAACTGGTCACTGACTTTTTTTTTTTTTTTTTTTTTTTTTTTGAGGCAGTGTCTTCCTTTATCTCTCAGGCTGGAGTGCTATAGTGCAATCACGGCTCCCTACAACCTTGAACTCCTGGGCTCCAGTGATCCTCCCCCTTCAGCCTCTTGAGCAACTGGTACTACAGGCACATGCCACCAAGCTTGGCTGGTTTTTTATTTTTTGTAGATATGGGGTCTCACTGTGTGGCCCAGGCTGGTCTCATACTTCTGGCCTCAAGTGATTGTCCTGCCTCAGCCTCCCAAAGTGTTGGGATTACAGGTGTGAGTCACCATGCCCAGCCTGATGATGATTTTTTTAGAGAAATAAATCCTTGAATTTTCTAATGTTGACATACATCAAGGTCTGATCATATAATTTGTTTGGAGTAAGGCCACCCCCTGTTGTCTTCATTCTGAGGCTCTGACTCAGCTGGTTGGGAGGCCCACAGAGACCCCAAAACTAAACAGTGCCAGAGCTCTCCTGGCCTTCCTCCATAGCACAGGCCACTGCCCTTTCAGGTATGCAAATAACTGGGAATTGGCTGTCACTACCATGCGTTATATATTCATTAGCACAGCATAGGTGTTGAGCCTATGAAAAGGATATCTTTTCTTAGCAGCAATTGCAAAGATTCCCAGTGTGATTTTTAAAACATGGCCTTGGCTGGGCATGGTGGCTCACACCTGTAATCCTAGCACTTTGGGAGGCCAAGGCGCACAGATCATGAGGTCAGAAGATTGAGACCATCCTGGCTAACATGGTGAAACCCCGTCTCTATTAAAACTACAAAAAACTAGCCGGGCATGGTGGCACACGTCTGTATTCCCAGCTACTCAGGAGGCTGAGGCAGGATAATCCCTTGAACCCGGGAGGCAGAGGTTGCAGTGAGCCGAGATGGTGCCACTGCACTCCAGCCTGGGTGGCAGAGTAAGGCTCCGTATCAAAAAAAAAAAAAAAAAAAATGGCCTTTCTAGAATAAGACTTACCTTATTAGTATTGTACTCCACAGACTCATAAATGTCAGGTAAGATATATTGAGCTCAAGGCATTTTTAAAAAATCTTTTATTCTGAACTCAGAAAGAACACCGTGGAAGTGTTGTAAACTTCCTAAGGAGTTGTTAGGAAACTGTTTAGAACTTTTTGGAGTTTTCCAAGGCAACTTTTGGAGAAACAGGTTCACTTGGGAGCTTGGTAGATGATAAACTAAACTTGATTTCAAGATTGTCTTATGCAAATCCAAGTCACATAGCCAGCCACCAAAAGAATTGGTAATCTGGTGTAATGAGTCCCTTTTTGTTTTTGTTAGCTAAAAGTGTATTTTACTAATTAAATGTAGCCTTTTTGGAAACTCCTCGTTTTTTAATCTTTATTTCCTTATCAGCTAGACTTCTGGCCCGAGTGCGTCATTTTTCTGCCTATTCACTGTTTTCATTTTTTAGTGGGAAGATATGTATTTACTCTTTTTAATCAGTAGGATTTGGATTTTAGAGATGGCTGTCATATTCAGGTCGGAGGCAGTTGACTTGGTGCTGATGCTTGTTTCAGCTTGTTCCTTTCCATTTGCCTCCAGAGTAAAGAAAAGATTGAAAAACTAAAACTCCAAGCTGAATCATTCTGCCAGCGTTTGGGGAAATACCGGATGCCCTTTGCCTGGGCACCCATAAGCTTATCGAGCTTCTTCAACGTCTCCACCCTTGAGAGGGAGGTAACTGATGTGGACTCTGTGGTTGGTAAGATTTTTACCTGCAGTGGGAAAGGGAGGGCTCCCCAGTGTGCCACTGCTCAGGTCCACAGCTTACTAGTTGGAGGCTAGGGGCACAGTGAGGTGTGGGGAATGGAGAGGAAGAAGGAGATAAACAGAATGAAACACTATTATGACTGGATTACATATATTTGGACAGTGATCTCCAAAAGAAATCATCATGAACATTGGTAAAGATTAAGTATACTCTTATAGTAAGATTTTCTAGATAGTATGACACTTAAATAAGTTAATTTTTGGTAGCCACCCCCTCTCTAAAGTAAAACTTTAACAAGAAAATGTAGTAACCATCTGTAGTGTGTTAAGCAGAGACACCGTGGTCGATTCCTAAACCTAAAATAAAAAAGCCTCTGTTACAAAGCCTTCAAAAAGCAAAACTCGACAGGGCGTGGTGGCTCACGCCTGTAATCTCAGCACTTTGGGAGGCCGAGGTGGGTGGATCACTTGAAGCCAGGAGTTCAAGACCAGCCTGGCCAACATGGTGAAACTCTGTCTCTACTAAAAATACGAAAAGTTTGCTGGGTATGGTGGTG